TGAAGCAAAGTTCAATATAAAAGTATCTTATATGAAAACTTAGGATGCCAGACGAAAAGCATTGAAAATAGTATTTGGTAGCTGGGAGGAGTCATACCGAACCATAAATTTGTTCATGGATGCTATTATGTTTTCAATGCCTGAAACAATTTATAAGATACAAATGTCTGAGAATCATAGATTTGAGAGATTATTTTTCTCATTTGGACCTTCAATAAATGGTTGGAGTTATTGTCGCCCTGTTCTTTGCCTTGATGGCACATTCTTGTTAGGCAAATATCGAGGCACGTTACTGACCGTTGTGGGAATTGATGTTAATAATGGATTATATCCCCTCGCCTTTGCAATTGTAGAATCAGAATGTGTTGATTCGTGGGTGTGGTTTCTGAATCAATTGCATATATTACTTCCAGTTGTTAGTACCCGACCTGATTTATGCATTATTTCTGATAGGCACGCTGGTTTGGTCCGAGGTTGTCGTGAAATTTTTCCAAATGTTGCACATCGTCACTGATATCTCCCTGATCAAGTACTAAGATAATTTGGATAATGCCCTTCCACTGATATCATGCCAATGGATCCTAGTTTTGTAAGAGTTGATGGACGTGGTAAGTTAGATACTGATTGGGCATTGTATCACCAGGTAAGTATTGCACTATGGGAGAGCAGGAGAGCATATATTGTTACTGGAGAGATTACTGGGTTGGACTATGATTATAAGGTGAAGCAGTACTTAGCATGGTTTCATTCTTGGGCTACACTATACATGCTAAAGCCCCCAGTGGATCCTCCGAGTACATACTATCCAAGATCACCAGCTGGACGTCACATAGTAAGTTTAAGTTATTTAAATTTAATTATATGAAAAATTTTAACTGAATTACTTATCCTAGCAGCGAGATTTCTTTGTGAGCATGGAGAGAAGATTGCAACCACACTTTGTCGATACTGAGGGGACACCTTTACAAGTAGATGTGAATATTGTTGGAGATATGTGCCAAAGACTACGACAACAGATATACATTGACGATGCTCATTATTTGGATGAGGCGGATACTCAGGTGTTTAGTCCAGCCATTCCGACTGCATAACCATATCATGCTGGGCCATCCTCCTATCCTGATCTTGGTCCCTCTCAGAGCCACTTCACACCTGAGTTTGACGTCGCCTCCACACCTCAGTTCGTACC